CAAATACCAGAGCTGGGGTCAGAAAACAACTCTGCATGTCATACTGAATGGCTCTTTTTGTCATATTTTGAGAATAACATGTTTGTGGACTGTTATGCTTCATCTTGGCACATTAGCACACAGGGTAAGATACAAATAGCCTATGGCAAGCCGTATTAACATTTAATATATAAAATGTATTAGTACTTTTTTTTCATGCTACTAGTGCTTATTTTTTAGACGCTAGTATGAATTAGATCAGCTACTTGTACTTATTCATTACCTACTATAGTGCTTATTTGTTAGATACTAGTTCTTATTCTTTAGGAACTAGTATCCTTTTTCGAGATACCAGTACGTATTATTAGATCAAGTTCTTATTTATTAGATACTACTTATTCAAACAAGCATTTAATTATACTTGTTAAGAAAAAATTTGAACTAGTGTTTTTTTGTTGTTGTTGTTGTTACTAGTAACTTTTTAGACCAAGGATATCCTGAACTTACTAAGTACTAGTACTTTTTAATTTACATATCTGCTCAGTATGCAAATAATATGCTGAATATTAAAGATAGGGGTGTGAATCGTCACTGGTTTCACGATTCGATTCGATTACGATTACGATTATCTTTTGTTTGTTTTTTTGTTGTACGATTATCAGATGTTTTGTCCTGTTCTGAAAACATAACTGACTGTGTTTAGGCCTACATCAATTTCGTATCATAAAAGCATTCGGAGATGCAAGTACATGCAGCTGCGATCGCGCTTCAGGACAACAAACACAAAGCGCACGTGAAAGTCTGTCAGTGCACGAGTTTCGTGCATCTAATACGTACTGCATTCCAAATGGCATAAATTAAAGCATATCTAAAATAAAACACTGAAATAACGGCAGATGGAAGCACAAGTAAAGCAATGCACACGTGTGTCTGAGAGCACACATATTCTGTGCAATGAAGCCCGCCTCGATTGTCTCTAGCGCACACATGTGCTTGTATTTTCCAAAAAATATGCCCAGATCTCGAATTTAAAAATAGTGGGCGCATTTTTTTAATACTGGAGTAATAAGCGTGTATGCGAATGAGGTCAGTAAGCTATAATCGATTACGGTCTATTACTGCACCGATGCAGAATCATCCACATCCGCATTGCGATGCATCAATGCAATGATTAATTTCAACACCCATAGTTAGAGGCCATTAAAGGGATATTTCACCCAAAAATCAAAATTAGCCAAAGATTTACTCACCCCCAAGGCATCCTAGGCATGTCTGACATTCCTCTTTCAGACTAACACATTCGGAGTTATATTCGACATTGTCCTTTCTGTTCCAATCTGCATAATTGCAGTGAATGGTGCCCCTGTTTCTGAATCCGAAAAAAAAGTATCCATCCATCACAAAACTGCTCCACACGGGGTGTTAATAAAGGCCTTAACAAACATGTCGATTCTTAAAACTTTATAAACTGTAATGTCCAGCTTCCGGTCGCGTTCACAACAAGGCGGTCGAGCGTATGACGTAGGTGTAACGAAAGGCGCAACGTAAGATCCGGGGAGAAGACTGTAGTCTCGCAAGAGTAAGTTCTGGGGAGAAGCATGTAATCTCGCGAGAACCAAGTTTTGTTTACGGCACAGGAAACCATGTGAACAAGTAAATTGTATCTGTCAATACCGAGGATGTTTAAATAAGTTCGTGACAGGTGTTTTGTTTTGCCTTCTCCTCTGTGCATCTGCTTTCGTCACTCTCTCCCCAGATCTTACGTTGCGCCTTTCGTTACGCCTATGTCATTCGCTCGACCGCCTTGATGTGAACGTGCCTACTTGAGCGACCGGAAGCTGGACATTACAGTTTATAAAGTTTTAAGAATCTATATTTTTCTTAAACTAACGCATCGTTTCGCTTCAGAAGGCCTTTATTAACCCCTTTGCTGTCACCCCCCATTTTCGGCATGGAGACACAAATGACATACCCAAAATAAAAAGGTTGCTGCTCATGAGTCTTTCTGACTAGATACACCATCAACATATGTTAACAAAGCTGACACTTCAAAGTTTACTGTTCAAGAATCAGAATTACTCAGACTGTTATGATAATAGATATATTAGCTCAAACATAAAAATATAAATAATATTATTATTATTTTTTAAATGTATAAAAAATATGTTGCTGTGGTAAATGCTTTTAGAAACACAATGAAGCTAAAGCCACAAGTCTACTAATGCTTAATTTCAAATTTCAGGACATAATCTCTAAAACTGTGAATTTTATTAAATATTTTCTAAGACCATGTCATGTGTGCTTCTCGAGAAGGCTAATAAAAGGCTAATAAAATTGATTTATGGCTCCCTGTAAGCTCTCCTGCGTGCTATTGCCTCATGTCTGGCCCGGCAAACTGCCCCATTCATGATTCTATTGTTCTCCCTCGACGAACCTTTCACACCTCCGCCAGGTATGAGACATTATCCTCATTATTCCTTTATCATTATTATTTTGTTTCTATTCAGCCACTATTAGCCTTTATTCTGGCATTACAAGGTTTACCAAGCCACATCGCTTCGATCCCAGTATACATTTACCCAACTATTATCAAAAGTATTTCTAAAAACAAATACAACAAAACATTTTCTTACAACCATACGTCAATTATTATGACAAAATACATTATGGAGAAGAACTACACCTGTTCTGCAGCTGCATTAGAGCTAACATTAGCATCAAGCTACATAAGACAATTTATGAGATTATTAGTACACTTTTACTCAAAACTCACTTTAAACCGCCATCGAGTGTTTGTAATAACTTCCTTTTGCGATCACATGTGGAATTTGGTCGTTTACTGTTGTTAAAATATGCTATTTATAGCCTGTCACTGCAACAATGTTTTATCAAAACAGTGGTCAAATATCGAAGCTAGAGTCTTTAATCTTTCTACTGCTGCTCAGTTTGTCCAAATCAAGTAAGAGTGTGATGTTTTAACGTGCTGTTAAAGTGAAACAACAATAATCTAGGGCCATCGCCGATCGTTGACAGCTAAGGGGTTAACACCCCAGAGCCGTGTGGAGTAGTTTTATGATGGATGGATACTTTTTTTGGGGGGTATTCAGAAACAGGGGCACCATTCCCTGCAGTTATACAGATTGGAACAGACAGGACAATGTTGAATATAACTCCGACTGTGTTCGTCTGAAAGAGGAATGTCAGACATGCTTAGGATGCCTTGGGGGTGAGTAAATCTTGGACTAATTTTCATTTTTGGGTGAACTATCCCTTTAATAGTCTCTGTTCCATTCCTTCGGTCTGTCATAAATGCTCTCTTTATGTTAGCAGGAATTTAATTGTGGGGTTTTCAGTGTCTGCAGAATAGGCTGGTCACGGACTCAAGTCCTGTTTTGAGAATGTTTTTGTCAGTTCTTTGGTAAAAGAAAAATAGCCGTTAAAACCCTGAGCAAAGCAACAAGTGCAATGCAACCAATGACTGCCTCCTCTTTCTATCAGTCTCCCGAGATTTAAACTCCCTTTTATAGCCATGAGTGTTTATTATGTATAAGACAAGGATTACAATGAACTGGATCTGAAACAAAAGCATTCGTATTAAAAATTATGTTTTGCTTTGGTACTATTTACACAAGCAACTGTTACATTTTCAAAACTCTTAGTAGCCTACTATTAATATCACAACAGATCATCAAAAGTGCACCTGCAAACTGTGTGTTTTGCAATTTGTGAACATACAGCATACAAGGGAGAGGAACTGATCAGAGATTGATCAGAGATGTATCAGAAGAAGGGAGACAGATGGCATCAAATACGGCATTTTACATTACATTATGTCATGTGATACTGTATGTAAAGGCATTGTAGAGTCTGCACATTACTAGCTACATTAGCTACAGTATAGATTCAGTCATATGGCACAGTGAGGGCATTTACTGCATTGAAATTAAACTCTGTTTTTGCACAAAACCTTATGGCCAAGTCATACCTTCATCGCACCTTTTGATAACACACTGGATTAATACTGCTACAAACATTATGGATTTTATGTGAGTTATGCAAAGGTGAATTGAAACATGTATCTTGCATTGCTTGCTCTTGAATGAACTGAATGAAGTACTAAATTGAAAGAACATCATACTGTTCTGGTGATTAAATTAAATGTTCTCAATATATATTACAATAATCTTATGTTTTGAAACAATGATTATGATAATTATAATGAAAGCATGAGATCAGTTTTGAAAAGAATGACTAACAATGTTACAAGTTGGATTTTTGTACTAAGAGTTTTGAAAATGTACACCTTACATGTGAAAATAGTACCAAAGCGAGTAAAAAAAAACTGTCCTATGTAAAAACATAACATACTAAAAAAATACAATTATGTAAAATCAAATATCTTCTTTAAATAAAATAAATATAAAAGTTTTTATATACTGTTTCAAATGTTTTAAAGTTTTTGAAAGAGTCTCACAGAGGCTGCAATTATTTGATCAGAAATACAGTAACTGCAAAATATTTAGAAATATTATTACAATGTAAAATAGCTCTTTCTATTTTATTATATTGTGAAATGTAATTTGTTCCTGTGATGTCAAAGCTGAATTTTCAGCATCATTACTCCAGTCTCAGTGCCACATAATCCTTCAGACGTCATTTTAATATGCTGATTTGCTGCTCAAGAAACATTTCTTATTATTACTAATATTGAATACAATTGTGCTTGTACTATAAGATATTTTTTTCTGGAAACTCTGATGAATTTTATGTTTTAGGATTCTTTGATGAATAGAAACCACATTACACAGGATATTCAGCTATTGCTTGCTCACTGTATTGTGAATACAGAGTATTTGATTATTATACAATTGACAAACTGCTTTATAATGCTTTATAATGTACACACAAATATCCAGAGATGTATTTTAAACCATACTGAGGTCTTTCAATCACTGATTATTGTTCTTGTTAGGATAAAAAGTGGCTTGATAATCGGTGCTCATCTCTTCCATTTCTCTCAGGCGTGTGGTACGCTCAGGCACTGGAGGTGAATACAGGCAAGGTCAATTTTATAGAAGTGATGAATGGAAGTTCAGTGCTCTTACCCTGCACATACGCCAGCTGCATTGGCATTAAAAACCTTTACTTCAACTGGCAGTTCAAAGACAATGGGACATTGGATAAGGTGAGATATTCAACCGTTTCTCAAGCACACTTATTTTCATGCAGTTCATGCAAAAAAATGGTGTGGATTAAATGTCCAAATACTCTCTAGTGACACTATCTTTTCCCTCAGCTCTGTGAGGCCATCATCCCAGCAGAAGGAGTAGAACCTAATGTGAAAATCTATCATGACCGGGTGGAGTTTGTCGGCTCCAGCAAACAGAATAACATCTCCATCTTACTGCATAACGTCACCTTCGAAGACCAGGGAGAGTACATCTGCTTCGCCCGCAACCCCAAGGAGAAGGAACGCAACCATAGTGCAGTTTTCACTCTTTTTGTGGTGGATGAATGTGAGTCTCCACTCTCCATTTTACAAAGGGCCTCATTTTAAACAATAGTGTGGTTATTCCCATTATGTTTGGTGTTATACCCACCCAGATCAAACTCAACGTGTGTTTGTCTTCACAGTGAAAGAGGTGGACAACACACTGACCCTCATCATTGTGTCCGTGCTAGGTGGAGTCATAGGTCTGCTCATTCTCATCATGGTAGTGAAAGCTGTAGTCCTCGCCATTCTAAACAAGGTCCAGGAGAAGAAGTAAGTCCGTTTTATCCTGAGCAAAAAACTCTACAGTAATGAGACTGTAGAGTTGAAACAAATGAACACATTTTAACCTGTCCTTTTTTTCTAATTAGATGCTTGGTAGATACTTAGCTACTAGATAGTAATTGGTCTCTTAGACACATGACATTTTGATGAATGGACGGATGGACGGATGGACGGATAGACAGACAGACAGATAGACAGATAGATAGATAGATACATAGATAGATAGAATACTGTATTCTAATGACTTTTCCTGGTAAGGCAGTAATGTAATGCGTTACATTTTAAATTTATGTAATTTGATTATAGTTACTAATTTCAATAAATTACGTTACTTAAGTTACAAATGCAGTGTAAAAGAATATGAAGTTAAAATCATGTTTTGCACGCCAGTATGACCTTTAATACATCAACGGAGAATGCCAGCTAAAATGCAGATAAGTCCTAAAATATTTAGATTCAATGAAAGATCATATTTCAAAATGTTGCAGTCGATTTCAACAATTTTAGTCTGGCATTACAGTTTGGGAAAAGTTCACCTAGTAAATGTGTTTATATCACAATAACATTAATATAAGTAAAAATAAATGACTCAGAATGATCCTCCACTGGATTAAGCTATGCGTCGCGTCGCATCGCATCGTCTTGTGAGGTCAGGGCTTATTCCTCACAACATGTCTTCTTCAAAAAACGAAAAGTAGCCGAGATGAACTTGATAAATCTCAATGCTTTGTTTACACAGGTGATGTGGGCATTTACATGTTCGCGTGTCTCAAGCCTGGTTTCGCGTCGATGATATCTTAAAGCGCGCGATGTGCGTGGGTGTGACTATCGAAAGCCACATGGTTCAGAATTTGCGTGCTTTTCACCGCCGTATCAATATTAAAGGTCCCATATTGTACACCTTTCTGGAGTTTTATTTTAG